GAACTCAGAGACAACTTAAGACGAGTTTACATTACTTGGAGATGGAGGAGTTCATCGTTTATTTTCGAGAAATATCCGGGGCAGCGAGGAGAAACGTACATGAAGAAAAAACGTAAAAAGTTGGATGGACTTAAAAGAAAGGCGAGAGTCTGTAAGGCATTTGATGAAGCACCCTCCATTGAAAGCAGAACTATTCAAAACACAAGTTAAATACCTAGGGCTAATACTAGACAGTAAACCAAACTGGAACTCAGACTTAGACAAGGTAAGGAAAGAAGCCATCATAGCAAACCAGATCTGCCGCAGGCTCATAGGAAGGAACTGGGGCCTCAAACCAGGAATGGCTCATTGGGCCTACGTAGCAATAATCAGATCCATGGTCGCCTACGCTTCATTGGTTTGGTGGCCAAAAACAAAACATAAGATAGCAATAGATGGCACAAATCCAGAGGTTAGCATGTCTTAATAACGGATGCAATGAGATCTTGTTTTCACACCACTCCATTCATATATACAAAAGGAGGCAGCTTCAAGTGCCTTATCACTGAAAACAGTTTCTTCACACAAGTTGATGTAAGGTAACCACAGAGGACACCTCGAAATACTCAAGGACCCATGTCTAAATCACCTGATTGAAATGAAAACGGACCTTATACCGACAGAATACAATTTCAACCAGCCGTATAAGGTCATATTTAGAAGCAGGGATGATGAGCCTTAGCCTGGCACACCGATGCTTCAAAGACTGTTAGATCCAGGGTAGGTAAGGGCATCAGTCGACCAAATAGCCACATTAAACTGCCCCTCAGCTCGGGCATAACAATTTTCCAAGCAGAAGTGCTTGCTATAAATTTCTGCACCGCTTTGAACCTACAAAAGGGACAGAAAGGTGCATCCATAAACATTTTCGCAGACAGTCGGGCCGCCTTAAAGGCAATTCAGGCCTACACGTGTGACTCCGCACTGATCAGAGAGTGTACCAGCAACCTGAGAGAACTCGCTAGGGGCAATGATGATACCCTAGGGTGGGTTCTAGGTCACAGCAACATTGAGGGCAATGAGAAGGCGGGCAAGCTGGCCAGAGAGGCAGCAACCACGCCCTTCATTGGACCCTAACCTGGTTGTAGACTACAAAAAAGCCACCTAAAACAAATAATCCACAGTTTGGAGGTCTCAAAGGTAGCCTTACGCTGGAAAGAACTTCCAGGTTGCAGACAAGCGAAGAGTATGATAACTTACTCGCAGAACAAAACCGAAGAGGTTTATGCCTCAGCGAAGGACGCTCTCAGGTTACAATCAGGTCAATTGCGTCGCCAGAGGCCGTCTAAAACACAAAATTTTCGGTAAAACTATCTTGATACCTACCGACATAAAGGTTTAAGACCTCGGGGCGATACTAAGGTTCATCAAGGACCTAAATTTCCTTAAACCTTTGGAAGGTGTAATAAAAACTATAGCGTTTCATTTAAAATAATGAAGTTATGGTCTACTGCCAGTAGACTTTCAGTGGCGGCCATCTTGAAAATATTTTAGATCGAAAGTTTCGAATGAACAACCCATGCTACCAAAATTTCAAACCTCTACGAATTGTGGAACCGGAAAAAGTTTTAACGAACCAGTTACGTGAGACACCCTGCATAAATATTTTATTTATTTTTTATTTGAACAAGAGAACAACAACGGGACAAACCCAATAAAGTTGTTCCACAACATACATTTATGAAGTACAACTCAAAAAAAATTCTAATTTCTAAAACAATTACAATCATAGCGATACGGCAGGTGAAGATATAATGGCGGTTCTGATGTTGCGCTTAACACTAGCTGGATTATACACGAATAAATCGCAACTAATGCGATCAGCGGTACGCTCCATTCTGAAAATAGGGGAATTCCGATAAGCATTTGTTCGCGGCGTAGGTGCGTAAAACAAAAAGTCATATCGCAGTTGCCGCGGGGGAACATGAAAGTCGATCCTAGCCAGTAAAGACGGTGAATCAGAAAGACCACTGACAAAAGCCTGAACAGAAAATGTACGTCATTATATGCTCGTCGTTGACGGAGAGTCAGAAATCCGAACATCTCACAGCTTGCGAGATAATCCACATATTCACGTCTGGTTTTGTAGCAAAGATATTTGATTAAACATTTTTGAACTTTTTCTAACCGTTCAATGTAAATCGCATATTGTGGATTCCAGACAATGCTTCCAAAGTTTAAGACACTGCCAATATAAGCAGTATATATGCTTATAATTCTGTAACATTTTATTACCACTCCGTCAACATGTCTGTCAAATATCAGCTTCTGGTCGAGTGTTACACCAAGATCGACGGTGTGCGTCACTCGACGCAGGTCTTCCGTACCAATACAATAGTTATATTTGATGTAATCGCGTTTTTTAGTAAATGAAATTGTATGGCATTTGGCAATATTTAGAATAAGGTGATTTCTAACAGTCATCTGTGGTCCGAACCGGCAAGAAATTTTTTAAATCATCAGCATACATTAATCAGCGTGAATTGGTTATACAAGAGAATATATCATTAACATATATTAAAAATAGTAATGGTCCCAGGTGACTGCTCTCAGGCACGACAGAAGTCACTATAGATGGATGCGAAGAGTGCGTACTACTTGGGTGCGTTCAGACACGTAGGAACCAAACCAACGCAGCAAGCCACCCGTCACGCCAAAACATCGTAGCTTATTTAACAGTATAGTGTGGTCCACCTTATCAAATGCCTTGCTAAAATCAGTGTACGCCGCATCCACCTGTACGTTGTTATCAAGTGCTGAGAACAGAAAATCTGTGTATTCCAATAAATTGGTTTCAACTGATCGTCCGGGACAAAATCCATGTTGACTCATATGTATATTCTGTTTGACTTGAAAAAATACGCTGGTGTACACTAATTTCTCAAAAACCTTGCAAATAATAGGCAATAATGATATCGGTCGGCAATTAGTAACTAAATTCCTAGCACCATTTTTGAAAATTGGGACTACGTTGGCCTGCTTCCACGCATCTGGAAAAATCCCCTGTTGCAAAGATTTATTATAAATTAACTGTAGGGGTATTGTCATAGCCTCAGAGCAGTTCCTAATCAAGATTGGTGGTAGATTATCCGCTCCCGGCCCTTTATTCAACGCTATCCCATATAATGCTGTGTGTACTTCAGCAATAGTAAAGGACCCAATAGACACATTATATCACCCTATCACGCCCCCTCGTCAAGCACGATGGCAGACGGTGGTGTGAAAACTGTGAAAAATGCTCAGCAAATAGCGAACAAATGCTTTCCCCATCAGAAGCTACAGTACCATCATACTCGACGCTAGCAGGGATACTCGTGCCGCCTCTCCTGCGTCTCAGATACGACCAAAATTGTTTCGGGTCTGTGACAATATTATCCTGAACGCGTTCCATGTATGTTATGTGATCGCGATCGATTAGAAACTTTGAGCGACCACGCAAAAGCGAAAAAGTAACGTAATCCAACTGATTCCCATAGAGCTTCCACCGTTTATGTATCCTACGTTTTTCATTTAACATTCGAATCGTATCTCTTGTAAACCAGGGCGGGTAACCTTTCACATACCGGGACTTTTGTGGAACATGCTTTTTTATTGTAAATGTTTATAAAGAAAGTGTTTACCTAGTAAACACTCAATTTCCAACATCGTACTTCAATAATTTTATTCTCAATCTTTGTAGTCGGGGTGAGTTTATTTTTGCGACTTCTTTTGTCATTACATTCATATTAGGTCTATGATCTGTTATAACCTTAACAGGGCGTCCATATTGTATGAAATTTTTGTGCAGCAAATCATATAGCTAACATTTCTTTTTCAATAACAGCTTCATTCAATCTCCTTGAGGCATATGCCACTGGCTTTCCTTCCTGCATAAGGCAGCAACCTAGACTACTTTGTGACGCATCTGTTTGTATTGTTACTTCTTTTCTTTAGTCAAAATTCATTAATGTTATATTTTTATTTATTTTTATTATAATATTATATTTTTATTTATTTTTATTATAATATTATATTTTTATTATTTTATTTACCAACCACTGAAAGTCTACATCCTTCTTCAGAAGATCATATAATGGACTATTAATTTCCCCTAACTTTGGAATGAATTTCCTTACATAGTTTATAATATGGTTCCTTAATATCATTAATTGTTCTGATTTTTTGGTCATCAATTTTATACCATCCTTATTAGAAATGTGTCCCAAATACCTTACACTCTCTATCTATATTGGAATTTTTCTTTGTTAAATTTGACTCCCTTTTCTCTTGCCCTTCTTATTACCTTTTGTAGTGTTAGATCATGTTCCTCAAGAGAATCTGCAGCAATTAGTAAATCGTCAAAATACACGATGGTGTTGTCTATATCTCCAAATATTTTATTATTTATTTTTTGAAAATATTCTGGTACCAAATTTAATCCAAACGGTAATCTAAGAACACGATAACATCCAAACGCGATGACTTAAATGATAGAGTTGGATCGCTGATTTCTGAAATGTTGCAACAAAAAAAAGTGGTTGAGGAATGTAACACAGCACTTCTCTGTTCCATCCATCAAAAGAGCTCAACACTGCAATGGTAGAATTATTGAGGAACATCCCATTAATGTAACTCCAAAGTGCTGGCTAAAATACTATCAAGGAGGTTGGAAAGACGGCGGAGAGATAATATTGCAGTGCCTAAATATCGAACGACCAGAGAAACTGATGTTGGACCGCAGCAAATTGCAAAGGCCCACCCTGGGTTGTAATGATACTGAGAGAGAGAAAGTGTTGTACAAGGTACAAGACAAATACAGCAAATGTTGCTCATAGATCTGTTGAACAATCAGATAAGGCATCTGAAATTATTGATGTGCACATGGATTTCTATTATTTTAATCACATTCAACATTTTTAAATTAACTAAGAAGTTACAATAAAATACCTAAATATAGAATTAAGTTCAACACTAAGACTTACCTATTTGGATTTGCCCTATCTTTTTTATGCGTCAACATTGTATACCTCGCCACCGTCACCGGATATCTACTGATCGTGAGTTTATGGTAGGCTATCCTATTCGACATATCATCATCTTCGCCACCCCAACCCCAAAATGAATTTGAAAATCCGTTCAAAATCTCGAAGTGTTCCCGCGTAATCGCCGATACTCCACCAAAAATCCTCGAATACGGCAATTTGTAATTCATTGTGTTCACCGCGACGGACATATGCCTGGGTTGTATTGGACACGTGTACAAATTTCGATCATCTTCCGGCAACAAATCGACATCGTGAAAAATGAAATAGTCGTAATTTCGTCGTTTCAACGCCTCTTTAAACCCGATATTCATCAACATAGCCCGATTAAACGGTCCGTCATCGTCTTGTTCGATAATGAAAATGGTGTAATCGAGTTTTTGGCGTTTCAAAAATGGATGCATATGGTTGAGGAAGATTAATAGGTGTTCTGCGCGACATCGGAATGGGATTATTAACGCTAGTGATTTATTTTGTATGCAATCTTTTGGAGCGTAATGACCTCCGGTTGTTAACCAATAAAAATTGCGTTCTAATTCGGAGATTTTTGGCACTTTATCGATTACAATTGGAACTTTCCCGGAATTTTGTAAGTTTTCTTCATTGCAATACGGTTTTTTTAAATTAGAATTGTTAGTAAATTTCGTTCTGGTCTCAAAAAATTCAGTAAAATTATTTAAATTGTTCGTTTCGATTAAAAAATCGTTTTTACTACTATCGTTAACGTTGTTCTCATTGCTATTGTTGTCGAGGGAGTTTTCGTGTTGCTGCTGTTGTAAAATTAAACCGGAATAATCGTAGACGTTCGTTTGAATTGTGCCGTAAATGAATTCGAATGCGATTAAAACTAAGACGAGTATTATTACAGCTTTCGTTAATGATGAGCAAGAAAATGAGGTTCCGGACATTGTGAAAACTTTGTGGGTGTCACAACGAACATTTCCACGTTAAAGCTGCAAAAAAAAGAAAAACATTATTAGTAGGTTTTTGTATGTCAATTGTAACCACCTATTTCCATAAAAACATCCATAAAGCCATATGGCGTTAACTTCCAGAAATTCGCCCTAATGAATAAAAATTGAAGTAATTACTCTTGCTGCTAGCAATTGCTTAAAAGTGCAGAAATAGCTAAAATGCAATTGTTTACAAATGCTTAAAATGTTATGAATAAACTAAGGAATTGCTTTTTCTAGTATGGCAATTGCTTACATATTTGTAAGGTAGGTCGACCCCTGCAGCATTTGCTTGTACAGTCAACTTTGAATCTCTACGGCATACACATTCATTTAAGCCTTTTTAATTATGATTGAATATATGAATGTGCGTAAACGAAAAATATACAGTGTACGTAAAAATTACAGAGACGATGGCTTCAGAACGTTATATCTGTTTGATCGCGAAAATGTTGAGTGGTTAGCAAATTACTTTTTGACTGATAGTAGTGAAAGGCGAGGTGCTGCATTATCACCTATACAGCAGATGAAAATCTTTTTGCGACAGTTATCGGATCCGAGGTTTCAAAATTCTGTAGCTGAAGAACTCGGTATTCATTAGAGTACTGTCTGTAAGACATTTACTTCTGTAAAGCATGCAGTTTTGGAAAAAGCTAATATTTTCATTAGATTTCCTAGAAGGACTGAAGATTTTGTAGAAGCTAAACTGTTATGGTCAAAAAGATACCGTTTTCCAACTGCCATCGGTGCGATAGACTGCACACATGTTAGAATTCCAAAGTTTCATGAGTTCGGAGATGTAAGTGACACAGAGTTGTTCTACATTGTTCCAAAGCGGAAAATAGAAAAAATAAAAACTTGGTGAGAAATACTAAAAAACGGGTTTTTCGACTAGCCCCCATTTTTGGAAATATCAGATTATCTTTGTTGTTCTGGGTTGTTCTAGTTGTGCCAGTTATTGTTCTAGAAAATCGAAATTATGGGATACAGTATTACGAAGTTATAAACAAAAATAGGTTTGGCTGCCAAAATGTCTAGTTGATTGCTGTGACCATAGTTTTTCTATTTTCAATTACATATTACAAATATATACTTATTATATCTTATATAGCTGGTTAGCCTCTATTACCAAAATCATAATTGTGCACGATTGTGTACAACGTTTGCTTTTCTGACGAATGCACTTTTTCACTTAATGGTGAAGTTAACCGGCATAACTGTAGAATTTGGAGCGATACAAATCCTCATGTATTTCGAGAAGCTCACACTCAACATCCGGAAAAGCTAAACGTTTGGGTAGAAATTTTGGGAGACCACATAATTAGACCTCTGTTTATTCCTGGTAAAATGGCGAAATTTATCTTGAAATGCTGGAAAATGTGATTGATCCGTTAATAACAGAAAAATTAGAAAACGATCCTCTACTACTTGAACAACAATTGCATTTCCAACAAGACGGAGCTCCTCCTCACTACGCCGCACCAGTTCGCCAACACCTCAATTTGCAATACCCCGGTCGTTGGATTGGAAGAAGAGGTCCTATAGAGTGGCCTGCCCGTTCTTCTGACCTGAACCCTCTGGACTTCTTCTTGTGGGGACATCCACAGTCCAAGATTTTTGACTGATTCAGACTCAGCCTGAAAATTTGGATGAACTACGCCAACGAATTGTAAATGAGTGTCGTCACATAACTCCAATTATGCTGAACCATGTTAGAGACGGTTTTCAGTCAAGATTGTATTATTGTATGCAAGTCAATGGAGGACAATTTGAACATTTGATTTAAAAACGCAGATTTGATTTTTTGATTGTGATAAATAAAACAATTCAATTTTTTTATTTATAACCAAAATATTCAAGGTTGCTCATTTGAGCTAAAAAATTGATTTTTGGCGAAAACGGTTCATCAAATTTACGTTTTTCATACACCGTTGTAAAGAACCTTCCAAGACCTTTCAAATGAAGTATCACTCAACCCCTCTCCCCTATTCACTTTTGAGGGGTTGAAGCACCCCCTCTTAGGGGGTTGCTCGTTCAAGCCTCAAACGACGTCAAAAGATGTCCCCCAAACAAAATCATTCGACGGGTTTCGGGAAACTTTTCTAATCACTATGGGATAAGAAATATACGGGGTGGCTCGTCTGAGATGGAACAGCCTGTATATTTATATACAATGCTCAAAAAAAATAGAGGAACACTTTTCAAAATCTGTAACTTTTTAAATGACAGTTCTAGACAAATCAAATTTGGTTTACTTCAACGTTGATTAGAAGAGTCATGAAGCATCTTAGTGAAGTGCAAGTTACTCATGTTGTCGTCCTTATTCAGCATGGACACTGTTCGACATGTTAGCAGGGATCTTCGAGTTTCCCCTTCTGTTATTCAGCGTTTATGGAATCGGTTTTGGGAGACTGACCAACATGTTAGAACAAGATCGAAATCGAAAAACTACTCAAAATCAAGACCGATTTCTTGTCCTTTCCTGTCTACGTACGCGTACTGCCACAGCACGAGACCTCCTAAACCACCTAAGACGAGCACATGGAATATAAATTTCTGATCAAACTGTTAGAAACAGATTAAAATAAGCTAATTTGAAACCTAGAAGACCTTACGCAGCATCACAAAACAGCTCGAATGAGGTTTGCTCTGCATCACAGAGATTGGCTACTTCGTCACCGGACGCCTGTGCTGTTTACAGACGAGTCCAGATTTCGTTTAACTCGTTGCAACGGTCGAGTACGTGTATATAGACGTCCTGGTGAACGCTACGCAGCCGCTACTATACAGGAAGTGGATAGATTTGGTCGGGGATCTGTTATGGTTTGGGCTGGAATCAGTATAGACAACAGTACTGATCTTGTTTTTGTTCCTGGTAGACTAAATGCCATGAATTTCATCGAAAACATCTTGGAGGACCATGTGGTGCCTGCTTCATATGGGGTCGGTCAAAATTTGATTCTAATGCAGGACAATGCAAATCCACATTCCGCCGGCATCACCAGAAACTTTTTGCAAGAACGTGGAATTCAGGTCATGGAATGGCCGCACAGTGGTCAATTTCACGAATTTAGGAGGACAAAATTCATACCTCAAAAACCCTGCAAGCTGTTTAGCAAACGGTTTATGGAAAAATTCCTGGAACGGGTCTAAAGATTTAAATTTTTTGCCATTTTTTAGTGTAGATTCCAAATTTTTTCCGCCATTTTTAAATGAGTTATGACGCCATCGATATTTTTTTCAAATAGAAATCCCCCATTTTTATTACGTAATATGAAAGAGAATTTTTTTCTGAATCTAGTACAGTCAATATTAATAGTGGTTACATAAGAAAATTTTCGAGTAAAATTACTTTAAAGTTTAATTACTTCAAATTTGTATAAATGATAAAAATAGCACTAGCCATGAATAACTATGGTAACCAAATATTTTAAACAATTTCTTGAGTGTCAAAAAGTAATGTAGTAAAACTTCTTGAAGTGTGGTGACGCGCAATTTTGTTAGAATGACTGCCGTTGGAAGTGAGTTAGGTCAACATTATCGGGATAGAAGGAATGACATTGTTTTGAAAAAATGTAAACATCTCTTTCCAGTTAAGGTTTCCTCAAATCTTTTGCGAATATTGGGTGTGCGATTTTCTTGGGTAATTTGGATTTTGGGTAACATAAAACCGACAACTTTGTCTATTTATTTGTCCACTCAATGTAAATGTCCCTTCGTCGGAAAAAATTATGTTTTTGACAAAATCGTCGTCATCGTTGCAGAATTGTTGTTGCAAAAACTACGATGCATTGCTTGTGAATGAGGTTTACTAATGTCCAAATTAGACCCAATACTCCTTACATTAACATGGGGGTTTTCTTGCCCATCCAAAACCACGTTTTGTTGAAGTTCCCCTGAATCATTTGGTAGGCCAGACTTCGAGAGATGCCCATACTTTTCAAATTTAGTCACAGCTAGGCTCACCATACCTTTGCTAAGGAGTTGGCTATCAGAATATGTTGTATTAAAGAGGTCGACTACTTACTAAATCAGTTTTTGACCCTTAGGCTAGGCACACACGATCGATTTTCTGTCGGGCAATAGTTTAGTCGATGGACAGATATATATTAAGATTAAATGTAAAAATCGAGTTGATATGCAGTTGTGTTGTGTGTGCACAACTTAATACATTTATGCCCATGGACTAAACTATCGGCAGACTAAAAATCGACTGTGTGTGCCTAGACTTAGGAAATTGTATAAAATAATTGGTCACCATAGTTATTCATGGTTGCTGCTATTTTTATCATGACAACAAATTTGAAATAGTTAAATTTTAAAGTAATTTTTCTCGAACATTTTCTTATGCAACCAATATTAATATTGACTGTACTCGATTCAGAAAAAGATCCTCTTTCATACTCCGTAATAGAAATGGGGAATTGCCATTTGAAAATAATATCGATGACGTCATAACTCGTTTAAAAATGGCGGAAAAAATTTAAAATTTACACCAAGAAATAGCAAAAAATGTAAATCTTCAGACCCGTTTCAGGGATTTTCCATAAATCGTTTCTAATTATTTTGTCGCGTATATTCGTTACTTTACGGACATACTGTATATGTGTAAACTGGCATTTTACATAATAATAAGATAAATGGATGAAAATTGTTTATAATCTTGAAAATATGCAGATATTAACTATCTGTCAAATTGCGTAACCAGAAGTGGTCAAGTTTGTTCATTTAGTAAGTTGGTTCATATACAAACCTGCTTTGTGATTGAATGCAAGAATAACGTTCTAGTCGATTAAATTGGAGTATTTCACGAATTTTTATGGATTTATGTCCATCTATGTTTTCATTAGAATTAAATTCGACTTAATCGACCGTTTATTACGATAAATGAAACAGACTTTTCACTAAAGTCTATTTAGTAAGCCTATTTTTTGAGAAAAATTGTAAAAACTAGCAAAAATGTAAATTAGCGGGCGGAAACTTAATATCGCGCATAAATTCTATTGACATTTTAAATTTAAAGTTTGTAACACCCTGAATATTTTATTTCATTTCGTAAGGGTTTAAAAATGGGGATATGAATCCACTTTACTTGAGATATGAAGACTTAGTATTCTGCTTTTCTTTCAAAACGTGAAAATATTGAGATTTAATCCTGAATTTACGCCACTATGTTACCTTATTTTCGTCACATTCTTTATTTGACAGTCAATATTTTGAAAAGTCAGTGCAAGTAAGTAAAGTCTTGTATACCATCCTATAGCTAATGCTTCAGATTACAAAGTAAAAAAAAATTGGAATTATTCATTATGAACCGTGCAATAAAAATCAAATAGAAATGCTAATATGGGATGTTAATTTTTTAAATTTAAGAACTAAAGCCTAGTAAACTAAATAGACGTACTAACTGCATTATAAATACAGTTAAAGGTATAGACTATCACTATATAAACTCAGGATATGTATTTTCAACACACCTTAAATTCAACAGTACAATATAATGAACAATACAACAATTAACAAAATCAAACACTCCAAAAATTCTTAATTAAACAACCGGATAGTGGCAATGAAACCATTCTAACCAAAAAAAAATTCGTATATTATGTACAGCTGTTCAGATTTAATGCGAATCGGCCGCTGTTAGCTCCGACATGACACTGGTACTGGAAGAAGACGGAGACATCTTTCACGATTTTTTATATGTTCCTCTAATAAATGATTTTAGAGTATTTCTATAAAGAAAACGTCAGATAAAATTCATTCATTACCGGGTAGCTGTAAAAACCCCTAATTACGGAGCAATTGGCTACAACACGGTTACGATTTGCCCGTGAATATCTTGAGTATAATTGGGAACCAGTCATCTTTACAGACGAAAACATCTTCTGTTCGTCGGACGACCATAAGAAATTATGGCGAAGGGATGGAACCCGGTATGATGCTAATCATGTTCAACCCAATACAAGAAGTGGACGCATTTCCTTGGGTTATTGGGGATGGATGAGCATTCATGCACCGGGAGAACTGACCGAAATTAAAGGAAGATTTAATTCGATTTAATACATTCGAGTGCTGGAGGACCACCAGTAAGAATCTGTATCCAGAAGGGATCATCACGATAGTCCAATGCATTCTTCAAGAATTGTTCATGATTGGTTTGACGATCATAATGAGGTTAGGCGAATACCCTAGCTAGCGTAGTCACAGGATCTAAACCCATTCGAAAATCTATGGGCTTTGGTGGAACAACAGTTCAATAAAAATGCCAACTTTCCTTTTCGCAAGTTGTGTGGGAATTGTTTCGCGGCAAGGATGTATGCGAAAGATTAGTAAATTCGATGTCCACCAGATTGCAATGTTGCATCGAGAATAATGGGTATTATACAAAATACTGATATTTGATGAAATTCTCCCCAATTCGATTATTATAATATTTATTATATTTTATATGTATAATAATATATTATATTTTTTGTTATACAGGGTGTTTCGGTGACTCGGGGAACAAATTTAACCACATATACTAGAGTGAAAATAATGACGATTCATGTAAAAAATATTAGTAAAAGTCCTCAAATTTCGAAGATACAGGCCATCAAAGTTCATAAATTTTAACACATTTTTCTAAATATCTTAAACACTATTTATGGTAATGTGCTGAAATTTGGTACAGTATAAACTAATATCACGTAAAACCATTTTGTAATTTATAAGTTGGATCGGTCCGCGGGAACAATGCTATACAGGCTGTTCCTAAAATTTGTTTGCTCAGAACTTTTTTATTCGATCGTAACCCTACATTTATTTTTACAGTTTCTAATAAAAAATTTATTTTAGAAACTTTTATTACTCTTAGATAATATTGATGAAAATCACCGTTTTCGTGTAAAAAAATCTAAGTCGGCCATGACAAGTGCAAATCGAACTGAGCCGTCAAAATATTATGTATGTAACATTTCCAAATGTAGATTAGGTAGGTAAATCCCTTTTTAATTTGTTTTAGTTGATTTAATAAAAGATAATACAAAACAATAAATTTAATTTTAACGACAACGCTAACAGGAAAAATAAAACAAATACATAAAATAACAAGACAAGTAATAAAAAATACTATAGGAAATGTTCAAAAAGACCACATGTCCCTTCTGGTATTTAACGGAACGTCACTAAGAACTCGTCCAATCCTTCCAAATGTTGATGGTATGTAGGGCCATCAAGCCTTGACGGCAAGAAAACGGGACCAACAATAACATCCCCCACAATCCCAGCCCAAACATTGAGAGAAAATCTCCATTGAGATTTCCAAGTTTTGAAAAATTTTGGATTTTCTTCAGCCCAACTATGTAAATTCCTTAAATTAATTATTCCATCTTTGGAAAAAGTAGATTCATCGGTGAAAAGTATTTTTTCTAAAAACTGATTATCAATTTGTATTTTCTGTTGGATTTTGGCAATATTCCAATCTAATTGGATAATCGGTAAGCTGTACTTCCTGAACCTTACAGCAGTGAAATGGGTAAAGCTGCTGCTCTCGAAGAATACGCCACACAGTCGTTTTTGACGTCCCAAATCGCCTAGCCATGTCCGAAGTACTAGTGGTAGTATTTTCTTCTGCATGTTCTAAAATTAACTCTTCCAATTGAGGAGTTCGAACAGATCTAGGATTGCCGTTGTTCAGAAACATATGTTTTAGTGATCCATTTTCTCTTAATCGGGCTTCAATTCGAGAAAACGTTTTTCTGTTGGTGGTTCTACGATTCGGGAATTTTTGCCGATAACGGTTAGCGGCTGCTACGGAATTTCCAAGACATTCACCCAATGTTAAAAGCATATCGGTTTGTTCTCCAAACGTGTAATTTTCCATTTCGAACACTACAAGGTTTTTAGTATTTGTTTAAACGACTAAGCGTGTTTACAACTGTCAATGAATTCGTCATGGCAGACTTAGACTTTTTTTTTTAGTGTTATTGAAATGGGAGCCTACCATTTTTGCATTTAACAAAAACGGTGATTTTTATCAATATTATCTAAGAGTGATAAAAGCTTCTAAAATAAATTTTCTATTAGAAACTGCAAAAATAAATGTAGGGTTACGATCGAACAAAAAAGTTCTGAGCAAACAAATTTTAGGGACTCCCTGTATAGGCATGGTTGCCGCCGCCCGATCAAAGTCAAAATTGGTTCAATGATTTTGCTTGATATTTGTTTACCCTGTACCAAATTTCAACGCTCTACCATAAATGGTATTGAAAATATTTAGAAAAATGTGTTAAAATTTTTGAACTTTGATGGCCCATATCTTGGCTATTTAAAGACTTTTATAATAAATTTTTATCACCAATCGTCATCATTTTTGCTCTAGTATATGAGGTTAATTTTATTCCCCGAGTCACCGGAACACCTGTATAGTGTTTGAATTCTTATAATTTTTATTACTTAGTTTTAGTTTTCAATTCGAATTTTCCTTTTCGTTCATAATTTCGTTCTTTTGTATGTTGTCTTTGTATTCATGTTACGCGTGCGTCTTGTCAAAAACCTGTATATTTGTAAAAATACCTGTATCGTGTCAGGCAGTTAGTCGATTAAAAGTCTTGAAAAGAGCGTGAATTTCGTCGCTTTATTGAATACATTAAGTTATAAGTTTTGTTGAGTTTCGAGTGAAAAAAAAGGACATTTTCGTTTAATTCGATAAGTATAAAACTTTCAATTTTTGAATTATTCTAAACATATAGGAGTGTTATATTTTATTATATTGATTTTTGATTGTTTGATTTTATTACATTAAAATGTAAAATTTGTTAAAATGTTAAAATTTACAGGGTTCTGGTCAAAACAAAAATTTTAAAATTCGGATTTAAGTATTATTAATTGCGTTCTCTTCGACTAAAATATTTTCAGATTCACTTCTAGTACTTTATTTTTTTAATGGAACACCCTATATATTTTTACATATTTGGATTTGTCTGTTTTCAAGGTTTATGAATAACTTTACTTTTTGCAATTTGATTCGGCCGTTCTCGAGTTATTAGAATTTTTCTAGAAAAATCGGCTCCAGCAGACATTTGTTAAAAAAATCAGAGAACACTCGATTTTTGGGATATCAATTTAGCATTCAGAACATGTGTAAGCAACATGATGGAGTATGTTTTGGTACCGAGTACGGCTGTCTAAAACGTTTGGTCACTTTACTACGGCACGTTAACTTTTCGAAATTTGGAAGTACCATAACTTCATTTCTTTAAATGGCACACCCCATATTTTATTACATAGTCGTCTTCGGTGTCTCATTTTACATCTTTTATACCCCACATGTCCTATACCTAACATTTATGGTTTGAGAGATAATTAGGGTTTTTTGAAAAATGCACACATCATATCGATATTTAACCTAGTGTGCCGTGAATACCTAGTGTGACATAGTGTATAACCATATGAAGTGGCCTTTTGAAAATTTGCAGACTTCTGATGTTTCATGCCAGCTTTTTAGTAAAATATTTTCAGGTTCCGGGTACTTGCGGTTACACCGGAAGAGGTGACAATTTTCATATTTCAAATGGAACACCTTTTAGGCCACTTGTATGTTGCAGCCGACACGTACGCGCATTATTGGGTTGCACTCTCCATAAATTATTATCAAATTCAAATAATCCTCATTACTAAATTCCAAATTGACATTTCTTGAGAACAGATCACTACAAAAAGTAACCTAGTCATCATACTAACAGAAATAAACCATACATCACTTCGAACCAGTTTCTGAAGAAGGTTGCAACATGGAATCCGAAAGGTCAAACCTTTTATTAAAAGACGCACGGCAAAACCCGAAAGTTTCTAGTGTTAGTTCTAGTTTTAGTTCAAATTGTAGTTTAAATCACACCGGCCGTGAAAGCCGTCGTACTTATATAAACCATAGCTTTAGCAAATGTCAAACTGTTTAAGGTAGGCACACACGGTCGATTTTTAGTCGGCCGATAGTTTAGTCGATGGACATGAATGTATTAAGTTTAATGTAGGTGCGCACACAACACAACTGCAGATCAACTCGATTTTTTAATCAAAAGGAGTCGATGTGCGCTTATGATTAAAAAGTTGTGCAACTATCGTACAACTGCAATAATGCTACAGCTTCATATTGAAGCGCACACACAGTTGATAATTTAGTTGAAGTCTTTAGGAACTTAGATTGCGCGCGCAACCTCACGGTCAAGTTTACTGAGAGTTGAAGTGTCTTCTCTAGTATAACATAAATCAAGTTTCCCTCAATTATTTTATGATAAGTGAATTTATATCAAAAATTAAGTTAAATTATTTTCCGTTTTGGTACCGCAGTTAATTATATACTACACTAAATACAGTGTGTTAATTAATTATCGTACCCGACGTCATCATTGCAAGTATGCAACCAATATACGTGCAATACGCATCATACGCAAATCGTGTATAGCAATACCAATATTGTGATAATGGTTGCATACTTTCAATGATGACGTCGGGTACGATAATTAATTACCACACTGTATATTAAAGTAATTCAATTACATTATTTTAAAAACTTGAATTATTTCCAGGTATTATTCAATATTTAATACAATATAAATACAAGTTGTTTCGAAATCGATATGTGTGTGCATACAACACGATTTATGAACAACTAAACAGTTTAGTCGGTTATAAATTGATAATGCATCGCGATTTCAAACCAATCCAACTAAACTGTTTCGTCGATGAATAATCGACCGTGTGTGCCTACCCTAAGTTAATAGTAGTTAATAGTAGGTAATATATTATATTACCTACTATTAACTACTATTAACC